GTAAATTGATCGATAGGTGGAAATGATGAGTGGAGTTTATGGTAAACTATACATCCATTTGTTGATCAATATCGTTCCTGTCCTAAAAAAAATCTGGCAAACAATTCCAATTCTAGGATACTTATCATTAGACTGTATGTTAAAATGCTCAAAGACAATATACAGGTGGATATAAAATTGATTGTTTGTACTTACTGACATTAATTAACAAAATGACAATTGATAACATTTAGCCGACGTATTGCTGAGAAGTTCCATACTAGGATGAAACGGCCTTTCAGTACTTCCAGGTTTTCAGTGGTGGTGTGGATTAGATTTAATATTAAATTCAATACGGAAAATATTACAATCTCCACAAATCACTATTCTAATAACAATCATGTGCTCACTAGTGACTAGTTTCAACATGAAACTCCTGGAGTTCAAGTGAAAAACAATGATCAGTGGGGCCCAATCTATGTCGGATGTGAAACAATTATCCATCTCAGACAATGAATGAAGGGTTGCACAACATCATGGTCGATTTAAGTTAGATATTAGCACCGTTAGACGTCGGATCAGTGGTCTTGCTTGAGGGGTCGTGACCACACTAATGAGGAGTTCCATACTGATAAGACATGGCCGGTGATTGCTTCTAAGTTTTCACTGCTGGTCTAATGTATGTGGACTCCTGAATTTAACTGTTAAAATTATATGTTCACATTGAAACTATCTTGATAATAAAAATGTCCCCAAATGTAATATTAGAGTGATTGAAATATAGTTTTGAATTATTTAAACATTTAGATTCTTAGGAAAACGTCAGATAAATTCTTGTTAAGCAGATATAAATTTAGAATAGTTAAAAGCATTCAATTAGATACACTTCATTTTTTGCTTTAAATCAACAATCTAATGTATTATACCAATGAGAAGTGGGATAGTTTGAAACTATTTGTCAATTAAAATTTTAATAAGATTACCTAGTAACTAAATATGGTGATAAATAATATACAGTAATTTAATCAACTCAGTAATATAATCCTGTATATTCTAGAGAATCAAATGAGTATAGTTTAAATATAGATATACTTGTAGTTAATTCATATCTTAATTCATTATTTTGTATTGAATTGTATTAAATCTTCTGATATGAATTTTAATTGACAGAATTAAATGAAATTAATTCTACTGCGGAAATATACTACTGATATCTTTATTTGGATATATTTTTAAGAAAACTATTAATTATGCAACTAATTTCTAGTGAAATTTACATTAAAATTATGTATCTTTTAATCATGAACAAAATTTACAATTCTATTTTTCAATAGTTAAAATAATGAGTCAATTGAAGCTAGACAACCATGGAAAACCTGGAAGCACTGGACGGCCGTTTCGTTCTATTGTGACACTCCTCAGCAGCGCACATCCACGATCCTGCCCCCCACAAGGTTTAAACCCAGGATCTAACCATTAGACCACTGAGCTGGCATCCAAAGGTGTTAATTTCTAGCTTCAACCAATCCACGAAATTGCGCCACTGTACACCATTGTCTCCAGTGAATTGAAAACTCCACAAAACCTCTTCTGATAATTCTATTTTTATTATACATCACTCTTTTTTTAGAAGAAATGTTCACAGGATCGTCAAAAATAAATTTGGATTTTGAATTTCAAGTAGAATTTTTAGAATGAAATAAACTGACAAATAATTATTTCTCTTATGAAAATTATAACACGGAGAGCATCAACACAATCACACTTGATGAAGAAACTCTGTAAATGGTAGAAACTTTCACATATCTGAACAATACCATTGAAAAACAAGAAGGATGTACATGCAAATGTAAATTCAAGGATTGGCAAAGTAAGGACAGAATTTCTACAATTGAAGAACATATGGAACTAAAAACAACTGTCAACCAATATCAAAGTCACAATCTTCAATACGAACGTCAAGACAGTTTTACTGTACGCAGCTGAAACTTTGAAAATTACTGCGATCCTCATCAAAAGAGTGTAAGTATTTACAAGCAATTGTCTACGCAAGATACTCAATGTCCGTTGGTTGTATATACCATCGGCAATAGCCCACTGTGGGAGAAAACAAACCAACTTCCAGCTGAGAAGGAAATTAGGAAAAGACGTTGAAAGTGGATAGGACATACATTAAGGAAACATCAGACTGCTTCACGAGACAAACACTAACTTGGAATCCTGAAAGAAAGCGGAAAAAAGAAAGATCAAAGAACACACGAAGTCGAAAACCGGAAGCAGACATGAAAAGGATGAATAGCAGGTGAAAACAACTGAAAACGACTGCCCAGAAGAGAGTTGGCTGGAGAATATTTGTCGACGGCCTATGCTCCTTAACGAGGGGTAATAGGGGTAAGTAAGTAAGTAATCTTGATGCAATATCACGGTAAAAATTAGGTTTCTATATTAAGCAATAAACTAACATTAGTCATTTAAAATATGATAATTCTATATTTCGCAAATTCATTCAATTAATTGCTAGCTTTCATTTGTTTTGTTTTTTAATATTCATGTAGATTTTTACGTAAATTAATGTAGGTGGAACTAGTCTCTAAATGTGAATGAAGACGATTATTCATATTATTTCCATTCTAGTAAAATTAGTTCCTGATTAGTAAGTTGTAGATTAAATAAATTGCATTTTCATAGTTTGTAAAAGGTATTCGTCACCGATTAATCTCAGTTAAGGCATCACTGAAAATCAGAGAGAACCGAACATCCACAGCAAAGAGCATCTTGTTTCTTTGAATATTGTCCAAACTAAGAGATTAATTTGTAACACGATTATCTTCTATATATTCAAGTAATTACCATAAAATCACTTCAATTAAATGATAATCAATTTTCAGTAGTTCGTGTAAAGAGTAGCTGATGTATAGTTAATAGAAACAGCGTCCAGTTGAAATTCAGTTCATTACTTAACGTTGTAGACAATTATGACCGATTGAAGTTAGTCAAGATTGAATTTTGCTGTGGATTTATTCTCAATCGAAAACCATATATATATATATATATATATATATATATATATATATATATATATATATATATATATATATATATATATATATATATATATATATATATATATATATATATATACTTTAGCAATAGATATATATCCAAGATCCTATTATAGTTTGAGCCCTATCCATTATTAAAAAATCTCTTCAGAACAAGTATCTTATTCAAAATACACAGAAGTTAAATTTCAACTGATCATCTACAAAGTGATCATGTTAATGACTACAACTTGATTACAAGAAATGTTCTATTAAAATTTATAGTCATCAATTTTATCAATTAAATGTTCAATTATCCAAATTCTCAATGAAAATAAAACGATTCTTGTGAGTTAGAATTCATTTTTTAAATCTGAAAAAAAAAGAATTTCATGAATTTATGTCAGGTTTTGATGACAATTCCTTGTCTTTCCCTTTCTCTCACTCACTCACTCACTCACTCACTCACACACACACACTGTCCCCATTCATTTTAGACTAGTCAATATCTTTTGAAAATAATTCACTTAAATAAATAGAATAATTCTATCTATTTGCCTTATAGTTATTATTATAAATGTGGTTTGTAGTGAATTGCTTAGAAGTTATTTTTCTTTCTTTGTCTTCTTCTACAAAAGTGTAAACAACTAATGTAAATTCAGTCATGTTTAAGTGAGTTGAAAACAGTAACTCGATAATAAACATCATAATCTTTTTTTAATCCAAAAAAAATTAAGGAAATGTATAATGATAAATCGAATTGATTGAGAACAATATAATAAATAAATATAGACCATTAAATTCTAGCTTAACATAAATGTAATAAAGTTTTTTGGGTATAGTACCTGTAGGAGACCAATATTAAAATGAAACAATAATGATCTAATTTAACATAATTAATGATTTGTAAATTTTTTCTTTGGTTTGAACTCCTGAATTAAAGTTTACATATTTAAGAATTGATAAACTTTTTTCTTATCAAACATTCTAAATAATGTATACGAATATTCATCAAGATTAGAAGGAATAGTTTGATAGAAATTGGGCGCCGAGTATAGAAAAGTCATTATATGTGAAAAACTATATTTGAAATAATCTCAGTGATTGAAATCAAAAATTAATTCCAACGTTTCGTTCAGCTAACTTGTCTGAACTTCTTCATGGTCCAGATGAAACATTAGAATTAATTTTAAATTTCAATCGCTGAGATTATTTCAAATATAATTTTCATATATAATGAATTCGAAATAATAATTAAATTAATGGGAAAACAAGTGAGAGTTATGACGAAAACATGTATTTCCTCTGTTTGATTTTTTATAACGAAAGATATTCACAAATGAAATGGCAGACAAATATCAGTTAAATTCATGACAAATTTATCTCAGTTCTAGTAGGACTCTACATCAAACAACAACTTCACCACGATTCAAGTGATAGTCCTAAGATCTGGAGACAAATGTCTAACTATTATATTCACTGATTCAATTTTCAACAGTGAATAATTTAAATTCAAGTAATTTACACTTAAGCTCAACAATTATCCACTTGTCATTACTAATAGCTATCTCATAGTTGATGTGTATTCTATAGGACTACAATTGAAATGAATCAATGTAATGAATATTATCAGTATGGGTTATGGAGATTGTTAAGCTATTGATGAAGATCATGAATCGACCAGTGTTAGACCAACACTGAAAACCTGAAAGCACTGGATAACCGTGTCATCCTAGTATGGGACTCCTCAGATTGTCGCATACTTTCGTGAATTGGTTGAAGTTAGATATTAACATTGTTGGATGCCGGTTCAATGGTGTAAGAGTTAAGCGTTCACACGCAAGACCGAAGGTTCATGGTACGAATTCCGTGCACGAAAAATTTAATATCATTCTACACAATAAATCAATCTTAATATAAAACTTTCTTGGGAGGTAAATATTACAATAATACATAAAACACAATTCATGCATAACTTACCAGTGATTAATTTCTTTACAGGAATTTATGAAATCAAATGAAAACACACACATATTGTTACTTAGATTTACATTAATTGTAATAATATTAGCAAATAGTGATAGGCGATCAATAGATGAGAAAGGATATTAGAAAAAAACCGATAGATAACTGAATGTAAGCTGATAAAACCAAATGGAAATGATTTTTCTCTTTTCAATTAAAAATCGAATATGGTTTTCATTAAATTTGTGTTCTTTTTTTTCTGTTCTTGTTGGTGTTGTTGCATTGATTTGACGTCAAAATGAATAAGGATCCAATTGTCATTGATTATATTTAAATATTAATATGATTATCGTTATCAACATTAAATTATTGAGAAATTTTCATAGATAATACTAAATTATTTATTTGATTTCGTTTGTTTAATTTTCTTTACAAATTCAATGTTTTCTGGTTAAATTAATACATACTCTTTATTCTATGATAAAAAAACAAACAAACAGAATAGTTGTTGTAATTTTGTGTATGTTAACAATATTCCTTCTCTTGTGAATAATAATGGATCAATCTTTCTTGATTTGTTCTCCCTATTCTACTCTAATATAGATATTTTTATTCTCATTGTTATAATTAGTATTGTTCCATTTATTTTAATGAACTACTGGTTCACCCTCACATACATACATACATGCATACTTACACACTAAACTCACCCAACACCCCTATGCTTTAAATTAGATACAGTTTTCCTTTAAAAAAGTAGAGTTGGGTGTATTGAATGTGGGCTGGTTTGATATGGTTTTATCGTGTATAGACTGTTGAAATTTAGCATTTCAAGTTTAAACTAGAAGCATAAGTACATATCTATGCACATATATTCTCATCTATGTCTATATGTATTGTAAAGAGAATTATCAAATCTCATTTTCCTCTGTACTCTGTGATAGAGGTAGGGGTGACTTACTGAGCATAGTGAAAATCACGTGATAAATAGTATATTTTGGAGGCAGACAATGAGTGTTATTGTATATAATAATAATAATAGTAATAATAATAATAAAAATAACAGAAATATTGACAAATAAAATGAGATGGAATTTCGTTTATTTGACTGACTGCCTTCTAAGCTAGAAAAAATTCTGATATAAAAATACAAGCAAACAGAATGAAAACATGAACATCAGAACTGACCATTCATTGACAAGAAATGTATCGAATTGCGAATTCGCATTCATTCTATGCTAACATATACACACCCTGCATTCAGACAGAAATGAAGTAAATTCATTAATAAACAAGGACCCTTATGATATTTTCTCAACATATGAATTATATGACCCTGTTCATGGTCACAAGACACACACACACTGTTAGTAATACCACAGCATTTTCAGTTTCTTCCTCTTCTTTACAAAACCTCTCTGATACTTTCTGTAAGTTGTCGGGGGTGGACATATTTAACCGGTTGTTTATTACTCCCCCACTTTTTCATAATTGAAAACTGATACATTTATGAGCCAATGAATGATTAGTTTATTTTGACCAATCAGAGAATGAATGTAATTTACTTTAACTATTTATTTATTAAACAACCTATCGGGTTTGTTTTATACAATTTCAATCTATTGGCTTTTTTTTTTAAAAATGACGATCAAAGTAAATAGGAGAATTAAGCAAATTTTCTTACCATATAATTTTGATCACTTTATCAAGAAATGATTATTTATTACTGTTATTAAAGTGAAGTGAAATATTCTAATATTTGACAATTGACTTTTATCGAAGTTTACTAGGCATTTTTATTTTGCTCAACTCAGAATGTTTTGAGTAAATTAAGTTGATATTGGAGACATGTACACAATGGATAACCATTGTAGTGATAATCAGTGATATGAACATACTAACAAAGTAGTTGGTCAGCAAAATTGTTGTCTACAGATGTAAATGAATTAACTTCATTCATTCATGTAATCAGAGACTGAATACAACTGTTAAATTTCAAAGTAAAAAGTAAATTATTTAATCAGCTCTCACTAGTTGCCAGTAGTTTTTGAGCTGATGTGTATTAAGTGAATAAGAAATTATATAAATTAGTTACACTACATCTGCACATTGTGAGAATGACTCAAAACCGGGAAAAGTACCGTTCGATGCATATTCTTTGTTTAGTTTGAGATGTTTTATTAATTCGATGGTTATCTGATTGATATCAGTTTACGATCTAAATTGCCTATAAAATCCACACAGAAAATCTCTAACACAACTAAGACATGTCTTCCAACCTTTTATCTTTGATAGGATGAAATTGAACATGCATGAAAATTTGTAGACTTTTCAGTGTATATTTTACAATCTTGTTTGAACCCCGTTTGTATTTTCCTGCATGACTACTTCTCAATTTAGCTTGTCTCATTGAAAAAACTTTTAAAATGCTTACCAAAGATTTCAATGAATTTGTATGTTTGTCCTGTTAATTAGTCGTGTCTATAGTCCACTCAATACTGGATAATTCAATAATTTATTGTAGGTCTTTACTCTTCATCTAAATCATTCATAGATTATGATCGTTGATGAGTGTCTCACTCTTGGGATGATTTAACTCTCTATCGATTATATAGGTATATTTTGCTGTTGTTAGAATTTCAGTAAGTGATCTCAAGGTTAGTTGTTACTGATGGAGAAGAGGGTTTGATATCATTGATTTGTTTTGAAAAAAGATTATTTTAAAAAGAATTGAGGACTGGCGCCTATTCGTGAATTATTAAAAGTTAGAGAGTATCAAGTTGTTTTTGAAATAACTGTCTAGCATTCTATAGCTTTCAGTGTTATCCCAACTAAGGTGAACCTGTGACGTGTACAGTCTACAAATAATACAAATTTTCTCGAAATTATTTTAACTAAATTATAATAGTGTGCTTACCAGTAAAATTACTTCTCTATGTTCGTGAAATTGAAATAAGAAATTGTGATTAGTGCAGTTCAGATTTATCCGAATTGAAAAAGTTGTCATTCACTGCATTGATTGATTGCCTCACTAACTCACAAGTTGATTGAAGCTGGAATTGAACCATTGGATTTTAATTCTAGGATTTTAATGTTTCAAGATTCATGATGAGATCAAATGTAATGAAATGAGTATATGTTTTTAAAAATGTATTCAATAAACTATAAGCATTTTCTAGAAGGATGTCAATACATGTTTTCTACTTATTCATAAATTGTTATTATTATTTTAAAAAATATATACAGAATAAAGAATGAACTATTCTGAGTGATTAGAGTTAAAAGCTAGTACGTCAACGACTTAACCTCACTTCAATTCACAGAATTCAATAATTTATTATGATTGTGAAGAATATTTGTGATTGTGTGTATATTCATTTTTTATTGTCAAGTAACGAACGCACTCATATAAATGAACTTCATCCTTTCTAAAATGAGAACAATGCATCTGAGCTATGGAAATTAGTGTATACCAGTGATAAAGACAAATGTTTATTGTCAAATAAAAATTTATTTTGACTGAACAGTATTCCATTTAGTGTAACACCTAAATTCAACCGTATAGGAGATTGATAGATGTAGTACTGAGAACTTAAGAATCAGAATGAAATATTTCACCATATAACAGGCTGATGGTTTCTATATAATTAAGTTTATCATAATTTAATCAATAGGAAGTTGATAATAAATTGAACTAGATATTATATATATGGGTTGTGCAAATTTGTCCGCCGCAATTGTTGTAATCTGACTTTTCTTATGGAAGACTTAACTTATTTAGTGAGCTCATGTATTCCACTACCCAACAGGTTTCTCTACTTAGTCCCAGTTTGGCCCGTAAAAAAATATATATTTAATGGGAAAAATATCGTTCTAATTTCACCTTTGATCACTTCTTATACAAGATCATACAAATAACGAATTTATGTCCTAAACAGTTAAGTAGATTTTAGTGTTAAATTTGTAATCTATTATTAACATCGCACTGGAAAATTTGAATTAGTGGAATACTCACCTTCAACACACTACTTTAAATGAAGAAACAATTGTTTCTAGGTTCTGTAGTAAGCCCATTCAACTACTGTATTATTTATCTGCTCACTGTAATTTAGACACTTAATCAATTATGTAATTTCTGTGTGAATCTGATTGAGCACATTTCTGTACACCAACTATAATCTATTCTCTAATTGGTCGTAATACACAGACAATCAATAATTTATTCATACTTGATTAACACCTAAATAAGAATGGATTTTAAAACACCCACACACAATCTCTCTTGGTTTCCCTGTGTGCTTGCTTCCTGTACGCTTGGGGATTTTACCAATCTTTAACAATAAACTATCTCTATAGCTGGTGTTCAGGCTTTTGAAAAATCTCGAGTAAATCTATAATTCTGCTAGAAGATTTAGCCTGCATTAAATACTCAGTTAAGGGGACACTTTATTGGAGTCAGACATAGGGGAAATTAGCTTCTATAGTTCTTCAATGAGGACTATACAATGCATCATTTAGTGAGTTCCATTCGATATCTACAAGTGAATCTTAAGAATGTCAGTCTAAAATTATTCAGAAAGCTAACGATTTAGAATATGACAGATCTCATTACTGATGAATTACTAAAAACCGCTAAATATTTTTTACGTCAGTGGGAATATTTGTAGATTGTACATGATTATCGAAAGCTCAAGGATTCACAAAATGAATAACTTCAGATAGATCAATAAATGATAGTGTTTGTCAATATCTGCTTCGAATGTTATACGCCTGATAAGGACTTCCCCCTGAGGTATCACGATATCAATCAACAATCCAAATCTAAATCAATAAAACTTCAAGGAGTTCACCAGTGTCATTCACTGAGGTAATGGGTTTATGTTAGGAATATTTTAAGTTATCTAGCTTTTGTCAATTAATTTTAGTTTCTCTTCTTCAGTAACATTATTCCTTATTCATATGTCTTCATGACTTGCTGTTCTCCGGTTGATTGTAATCACTTTCAGTTTGCTTATTTTTCTGCACATCGAGGTAATGTTTTGTTGAGATTATTTAGAATTATACGGAGTCAGTTTTATTTTCGTTGAATATTGAGCTTTTTCTGAATTCCACCTTTCTTCTTGGGCCCTATCGTTTTGAGGAGTATTGTTGAGGAATTCTGTATGTGTGTGTGTCATATGTCATATCATTGAATGCAAATTGGATTCCATTCGCATTAGGATAATCCAGATAGTTCATAATTAGAAATTACTATATTCCTGACACAACAGTTCAACAAATAAACTGAAAGTTTCTACGAAGAGGAAATTGGGAAAAGACGATACAGGTGGATAGAACATACATTTCGGAAATCATCAGACTGTATCACGAGATAGGCATTGATTTATAATCGTGCAGGAAAAAGGGGAATGCCAAGAAACATATTGCATAGGGAATTGGCGGCGAATATCAAGGATGTGAGTAGTACCTGGGAAAAACTGTAAATGACAGCGAAGGACAGAGTTAGTTGGAGAATTTTGGTGGGCGACCTATGCTCCTCCATGAGTAATAACAGACTAAATTAAGTGGGTAGTGTTTAAATATTGTAAATGTATTTACATGAAATAATTGTTAATCAA